CACATAAAAAAACCCTACCACTATGGCAAAGTACAACACAACAGCACTCTGATAAAGGAAGCCTATATATATGAATCCAAAATCACCAAACAAATTATATATATTGGTGAAGTAAAGTGACTTACTCCCCCGGGATGAATGGCAGAGCTAAGGTTTACAGCTCTCTGCGAGGAACTGTAAGTCTTCATGCGGTTGATCTGGCCAGGGTCGATCGATACATAGAGTATTTTGACGATAACATCTTCTGATCCTGGCTCCAGGGACAGAGCAAGAGCCGTAGCCTTGATCTCGAAATGGAACTCTTCTGGCGAACCATTTATGTTAGTCTTAATTGTTACGTACCTGTTCGTGACTTCGGCCATCATGGTAAGATCGCAACCTTTCTTTCTGCTTCTGATGCTCTCTCCAAGCTCTGTAATTTAAAAGAGTTGACAGATTTGGGAAAAAGATTGGAAAGGGTTTAGCTACAATGATGACATGTTTTTATGTATGGCTAAGAAAATGGACTCAACATTATCCTTACTAAACCGGTTTTGTGTTGTGATCTGTTCTCATCTTGTTTCAAAAAAACATTATCCTTACTAAAGGGAGTGGGGTACCCACTACCCAGACCCTCCCCAGCTGGGTGTAGTAGTAATTTTGTCGTTTGGGTCTATTAAATTTACTTATAATAATAATGGGCTTCAAATTTTTAGGGTCCGTTGGGGTGGCTCAGGAGGCTTGGCCTGTTGTTGAAAGCAAATAGTAGACTAGAAACCATGCCGTGCCGTGCTTTGAGCTTTGAGGAGAAACTCTTGATGCCTGCCTTAATTAGTTTGTACTCGCATGGCATAGTCTAGGGCTGGGCATCGGGCGGTTTCAGTTGTAACCACAACCGATTTAATGGTTAACCGTATAATCGGTTTTTAAAATATAACAACCATTAACCACATTAAATTATTACAGTTTTTAAATATTCAGTTATTTTTATTTTATAATTCTTAGTGTTGGTTACGATTTTACCCGAGGTTTGATATTTAGCATTTTTAACCTTATTTTCAGATTTTAATGGCAAAATTTTTGATTGAATTCAATAGTCTTATGTTATAAACTTAAATTTGAAAACACAACTTCTAGTAAATTGGTTTCATAGTAACGAGCAGCTAGTAACACAAAAATAAAAATGATCTCTAAAAAAACATTAAGTCAAAACAGATTTAAGCGAAAAGTTTAGACTTGAATTGATTCATCGATGCTCTTCACTATTAATCTCTATGTGAACACAATAAGATAATCACATTGCAATTTAGATAAAAAAATGAAGTTAACACAAGCAAATATTATTATCAAGACAAATGGATTCATTTTAGGGTTAAGGTTTTCTAACAAACAATGAGAATTTAGGTAAAAAAAATAAGGGATTGAAATTTAAAACAAAAAATTTCTAAAATTTTTTCAGATTTAGTTAAAAAGAGAAGGGATTTATACCTTTGGGTTTGGGCAATTTGTTAATTGAAAGGAATGGGAGACAAAATTTATGAGGAAAAAGGGATAACAACGATCAAGTTGACTATTTCGACGACAACCACAAAGTGAATCACCACCGGCCACCACCTTTGTTGATAGATACAAGAGAAAGGGAAAGTAGGAAGTTCTAAAGTTGAGACTTGAGAGAACAGAGAAAAAGGAAAGATGAAAATGACCGCTTTGTGGTTTACTCTCATTTTTATACTTAGGGTTTTTTCTTAGTTGCTAAATTACTAATTTACCCTAAAATAATCTAATAAAAGGTAGCTAATGCAATCTGGCCACAATTTGGGTGGCAAGATTGGGCGGGATTGTGGGGAAATGGAAAAAAAATTATAGAAACATAAAAAATAAAAAAAAAGGCCTCGGTTGTTTGGGCCTAACTCATGCGGCTGCCGGTTGTTAGGCCCAAGAGCTGACAACCGCAACCGAGGCCTAGCTCAACCGATTACAAGAAAAGTCCGACTCACCAGTTACGGTTGCGGGCGGGCACGGGCTTTTTTGCTGTTGCGATCCTAAACGCCAA